TTTTCCGCTGAATTTTCGAGCCGAGTACTTACGTCGAAAATATTATCAGTGCGCGGCGAAACACGCACAACGTCAAGAACGCATATATTTTTCATTGCAAAAGTCGTACGCCGACCGTACTCGGAAAACACGATTCGAGCACAATCTGTTTTTACGCGAGCAAGCGAAACGGCGTGCGATCGGTTCTCTCTTGCAACGAGGATCGGGCAAGGGGCGCGCGGGAATACGCCGTTCCAGAATTTGTTCACGTCATTATCACTATTTCAGCCGTGAATTTATTATTTAGTGAACTAACGCGGACTGCTGACTCCGCAATCGATAAACAAATTGTCCAAGGGTACATGAGTTCCTCGTGTGACGAATCAGCCAACTCACGGCGTGTAGCTGTTACGCCGACGCTCTCGCACCGTTGCCGGCCGTCCAATACCGAAGTGAAAAGTGACGCTAGTCACCAGCCTCTTAAAGCGAGTGGTGACGCCCCGCGACGGGTCAGCCTCTCGGCTCCTCACCGCCGACTCAAGTAGTTATGTTTACGCTGCGTTCGCGATTGAATGCTTATCTCGCGCGCTCCGCGATGCCGCGGCGATCGCGCGGGTCTAGATAACCGTAACACGCTTCGTCGAAAATTATCGGGCACAATAATTTTCTTCTTGCGTTCCGACTGAACGACGCACGGCAATTCCCCGGCAACCATGATACCACGATCAGCGTGACGCTCGAACGTTCGCGGTTCGGACCGATTTTTCAGTTTGCGCGGGCGCAAGGCTGCGCTGCCGATACGGGATCGAACCGGTAAATCGATCGAATCGCTCGGTAGATGACATCCAATATCAGATATCGGACGCGACGCGGATAGTGTTACGTGCCGGTGAAATACCCGTGACAATACACGTACGAACTTTCGTGTTTTGCAAGTGGCATTGTGACTCGAGTGCCGGTCGACTTAAAGTCCATCGGTTGTTTTTGTGCCGAGGAACAAAATCGAGCGTGTTCATCGGGAAAGGAGCCGCATTGAATATTCGCGGTCGCGCGACCGCAATTAACATACACCGGCGAGACGTAGATTCAGCGAGCCTGGGGAAGATTATTGTGAAAGAGAGAAAGGAACATCTGGCGTAGTAAACGTGCTAAACAGTTGATCACCACAGGAAAATACATTGCGCCGGACGTTCTCGAACATGCACTCCTACACGCATTACAGTATTTACTATACCGCGAAAATCCCCGAGAAATAGTACCGGCTTGTGGATGCTTAAACGGAGACACTGGAGGAACATCACGAATTGGAAAGAGAAGCGTTTCGTTTCGAGAGATTCTTTTTCCTGCTCGAGGAATATATGTGTGTGTCGTGTATTGATCAGGGACGTCGATCTTTGAAGCAAGCTCTTCTGGAGCTTAAATGACGACCATGGGCGTTATAGTTTATATATCGAGTACGTAACATTTTCTCTTCGTCGACTTACTCCTGCGAACGCGATCGTTAGAATCTGATAAATTCGTCGCACCTCAGCGTTGGAACTCATTCGAAACTTCCTTGCGCGGCTCTTTGTTGTTAGCGGTTAGCCGTCACTGGCTAGTAAAGAGTGTGAAAATAACGCTCTCACGATTCTGCGCCCGTGGCGTGTTTGTAGACTCGCGATCGAAAGTCCGGAAAAATATGAATGAAATTCGGTTGCTGGCTTCGTTGATCGGAAGAAGCACGATACGCAATGACGCCGGCAACTCACAGAATTCGTCTATACAGTTACGTACGCGGTTCACAATGTATAGAGCGCGTCACGTGTTTGATATGCCATCGACCTACATGTACTTCGGATTGACTCTATAACCAGCATCGAATCCACCGAACTCGAACAGTGATCGATTTAAACGTCACGGGACATCGTTAGTCATGCGTTCCTCGAATTAGAATAACATTATACAATCGAATCTTTGTCGATTCGTGTCATCCTGTCGAAAAGTAAATAGAAAAGTTCCACCGACCTCTTATCGGTGAAATCGAAACAGCTGAGTCACGACCATTCAACGACTCACCGTGTACATTTTTATTGCTGCTCGTCATACAATTAACTAATACCTCGACACTGTGCACGGGCATATGTGAGTGTGTTGACTAAGGAACGAATGGAGAGGAGCGCGAAATCGGACACTTTGTAACGATGCTCTATAGCAAACAGCGTGAGTAATCGTGGCTTTAAGATACTTGATCGCTGTTGCCGATGCTACGCTAAAATATCACCTATCTGATAGCGATTTGAAATTTACCGCTGTCGCACAGTCTGGAATTAAAATAATCCTTTCCATCCTCGTGATTACTCGACTTGCCATTGTTACTTAACGATACATCTTGCCGTCGTTGTTACCGAAAAAGGGAAAACTTTTTAGTAACGCTCTGCATTTCCTTTCTTCAAATTAGTTGATAAGACCAGGCGAAACTCGACACTGGTCACGTACGATTCTGTGACAGCTGAACAGGCTAAATGGTTCTAAGAAACGTTGTCAGTACTCCAGTGCATCTTAAGCTGCTTTAAAACGCTGTTTCTATGTTAATTTCTATCTCATTTAAATTTTTTAACCGTTGGCACGTTGGGTAGGTTTTTCGTTTCTCAAAGATTCTTTTGCATTCAATGTCAATGTTTGAGCGATTATATTTCCGGGTGATACTGTGTTTGTTACTGAATCTTGAAAATCTGGTGTTCAGGATATCGACAACGGCGTCTTTAAAATATTTATGCTTATCGTGTACACAGTCTTAATGGATACTTTAGTCCGTACGTAAAAAGGAAAAATTAATTTTCAAACAAAGTACCTAGCTAAGTAGTATTAAATGACAAGGCGTGTATTAATATTCCATATTGAGAACTTTGTAAAACTATCATATAGAAGCAATGGTATTTCTACGCCTAACAATATTTTTCTTGAGTGTTTACGTAACTTGTCACAATTTATTGGCCTTATCTTGAATAATCGACGGATTTTAAATGTGAGCGTAATTAGAAGACATGGTTAATCAACAGTGCGTCAATCCGTTCGACCAATGGACCTTGAGCCTTCTTACGTTTCGCGGTATTCGTATTTTCATCTTGATCGATAATGACATGAATATATGCTTTATTTTGAAACTAAGCTTCCAATACAACTCTACAACAATGAATAAACTAAAAAGAATGATAATTTCCTTGATTTTATTGCATAATTCTTAATCGTTTTACGTATAAGAAACTATAAACGATATAAAACATCTATCAAATTCCATTAAAATATAAATATCTGTAACACTTCACATTTTGTATACAATATATTCCTGACACTACATAACATTTCAGTGCAACTTAAATTATCCTATCGCACGAAAATTGCGTCAGTATTAATTAAATATATAAAACAACAAATAATGTAATGTTGTTCATCAGTAACTAATTCAATAATAACGAATGTTAAAATTTCAGCCATTTTAATCCTTCTACGTGTAGATAAATACATTCTTCTAGCCTTTCTTGGCCCAACAGAGTTATTCCTTGTTTAACACTATTACAACTTCTCAATTGTTTTTCATTTTAATCGCATTTTCATTTCTTCAAGGATACTGCAGTTTTTGAGAAGAATGTAAGAAAATTGTAATTAGTACATGTATTACTCTTTCCTCCAGATCATTTTCAATGTATAGCTGACCCGAGAACGTAGGTTAAATAAGTGACAAACAAATGTCACAATTGCAGTGCACAGTCGTACTGATAATAATTTGTCGCAGCAGCAGTTTAGTTTAATAGTAACAGTAAGTTTATGTACAGTTATATAATTTTTAATATTTTAACACTGCTTATTCTATAAATACTGTTCAGTGAAAATATTCAACAGACCTAAGAACAAATGAGTCTAAATATTTTAATTAATATTTATTCAATGTTAGTAACATTAATTAAAAACAATTATCAAATGATAATGATATAAATTTTTAGCACAAACCGTTATTAATACGAAACTTTATTTCCGTACAATCATATGTGTATCTGGAACATCCGTTACTAATGTATCTAGTGCATATAAAAGTCTTTTAATTCATGCACGAAGAACGCTTAAACAGAATAGATTAAAAACCTGAAGAAGAAAACTCATGTAAACACGTATCATACAATGTGTTCTATAAGTATAGATAACATTTAAATGTCGCATTAAATTCCACTTATTGATACAACATTCACGTTACACTATACTTGTGTTTTACTAACTTACGTAAAAATCAATGACGAAGCTTTATTTAACACGTTTATAGTTACATTAAACAGATATTGTTAACAAATTCTTTGTCCGAAATGAAGAATTAATTTTTTCAATGATATATTGAAGAAATTGTATTTCATTCGAATATTAGAATGTTACTCAGCTGTATTTAGTATATTTCAATGAATATTATAAATTGCTCGAAAATTCACCCATTAAGTTATTATAAATAAAAAGCACATGCTTTAAGATGTTATAATATAAAAATATTTACTTTGTGCTATTATAAATATAAAACTTGATATTTACACTAATAACAGCAACGTCTATCAAAGCCGACGGGACTTGGCGACCACATTCTATTCCACGCCTGGAGCGAATGTGTTAAGAGAGTATTCATTATTACAAAACTTAACTTTCTAGTTTCCATTTTATCGCATAAGTTACTTCAAATGCTGACCCGGTAATCTCTGATCATATTTCCTCACATAAATAGTTGATAAAATAAAAAAGAAATTGTAACAATAAGATGAGATCCTAATATCCTGATTGAAACTTTTATTATTGTATTTGACTTTCGAATTAACGTATCTTAAAGCCAATAATAGCAAGTAAAAGCTTAAAAGCATTTTAATTTCTATTAAACTTTGATTATTCAATTTTGATGTACTCAGTGTGATTTAGGACAATTTGCGTTTCATCGTTCATCGCGGGCGATCGATATGTAATAAAGATGTCATAATAATAAACCTAATAAAACGATTAAATATTATTTATAGGCATATACACCATGCGCATGCTGGATAATGGTAGCAACAATGCTTCTGGTCCAACGGGAGCAACGGCCTTGTCAGGAGTTCAGACAACTGGTGGTACGACCTCTTCGGCAACAGGCGTTACAACACTTCCGGGTGTAACAGACGAAAGAATGGATGCGTCCAGCGATAGCGCGGTCAGCAGTATGGGCAGCGAACGAGTGCCATCCCTTTCGGATGGTGAATGGATGGAAACTGGATCTAATTCTAGCCATACGCAGGCTGATTCCCATTATTCTATGGATTATGCTAGGTGATTAAAGCGTTACGTCAGAACAGCCATACAAAAATTACTTCACTGAAATAACAGTATCTACTCAGTTAGATTTATTAATAGTTCCTGCATCACGTAATATCATTTAGTGTTCACCCTAGAATTGATCTAACTGATTAACACGTAGGTGGCTGGCAGTTGAGCTTTTCCATTTGCATCTGAAATTCTAAGCATCTTAAAGAGAAAATAAGACGTCCTGCACGAGCAGGGAAAAGATCTTGTTTATTAATGTAAATGAGAAACATGAGCGTGACCCTCCCCCCACAATTGTCACCACTGAAAGTAGTAAACAGATAAAATTTAAAATTAGTCAAATGGTAATAACTGCATAACAGTGTTAACTATGAAAGTTACATAAAACTTGCAAGGAATATGATAAGATATGACATGTTTTCCCTAAAAAGAAATATTTCTAAATACATAGTTATTCACACTTCCTACGTGTCAGCAGTAATTTCCATTGTTTTTCGAATAGGCATAAAACTATATAGAAATTCTTGCTGAAAAAAAACAATAATCTGTAATAGCAAATATCGGATGTCCTACGACTGCAGCTACTCCGTTTCTGGTAGAAATGGCGGTTCTCCAAGATGCCAAACAGAACGTACCATGCCTCCAGTTGCCCAAAAGAAGCATCAAATGTTCGCAAAACGATATTTCCAAGAACAAGGTACAGGCACAGTTTTATTTAATGCCAAATGAACGGATATAAACCATTTGTTTAAGGAAAAATTTAATTTATTATAATTTTATTCGACACATTCTAGGATCGCCTCTCGGAGCTGCAGCGCATCCGACTACTCCGATGAAATACGAATACGATACGCATACAGTTGGTGCCGGAGCGCCAGGGAACGCTTACTCGGGACCAATTGAAGGTGCAGCTGGACCTCAACCTGAAATGAAATACAGCTGCAGCGTGGATTTTAGTCGCCATCAATCAGGTAAAAATAATGCTTAACGTCATTTTACGTTTGTGATGTATGTAAAGTATAACATCCGTCTTATCGTTTTCAGGACGTTCTGCTATAGAACACATTCACCATAATCATACGTATCATTTACCTGCGGAGAGTTCTGGATCCCTTCAACGTCCAATTTCTCGCGATAAGAAAGGTAAGGGTTATAAACCAAAATAATCGTATGTATGCACTGTATTGCATTTTAATTTAATTTTATTTATTTTCTTCCTTTTTAGTACGTAAAAGCGAGGGTGAAGAGCATCTGACCAGGGACGAAAAAAGAGCCAGGGCATTGAACGTACCGATTCCAGTGAACGATATCATTAATCTTCCTATGGATGAATTTAACGAACGTCTTAGTAAATACGATCTCAGTGAAGCTCAGTTGTCTTTGATACGCGACATAAGGAGACGAGGCAAAAATAAAGTTGCCGCTCAAAATTGCCGCAAACGTAAACTAGATCAAATTATTACCCTTGCCGATGAAGTAAAGGAAATGAGAGACCGTAAGATGAGACTTATTCGTGAACACGAATTCATGCTTCTTGAGAGGCAACGTGTGAAGGACAAATTTAGTCAACTTTACCGTCATGTATTCCAAGTAAGTATATAGTATTAATTATCACTTACTGCATTATCTTTATATGTATACTATTAAAATTAAATATATTAAGTGAGATATGGTGTATTCATTTTATTTATCAGTGAGTGAATGTTTTTGTCGGTAAGATATTTCGAACAATGCCGGTTAAGTATTGTGGCCCCTTTAATAACATTAATATACATAAAAATAGAGAAGCTAGGGTTATAAAAATATAATAAATATACATAAAATATCTGTATCTTAAGTAGATGTAAATATATATATATATCCATTCACAATAAATAGTAATGAAAGTAATAAAATTCTTGTTATAACTGATAAGTGATGCACATATGTATTCCATATTATACATATCTTTTAATACTGCAATCACTTCGAAAAAATGATTTAAAAAATTTCTTTTATTATATTAATTTCTTTTTTTTTAAATCGATATAAAAGCGTTTAATCGCAATCTTGAAGTAAATCGGCTTTGTGACTGATTCTTCACATGATACTTAGTTCACTTTTTCTGTTAAAAATGATTGTTTCTTGTGCTTTATTTTCCATATTCGCGTTATTCCTCTTTCATTATATTATATGTTTACCAACATTGTAAGTATTTAATACGTCACTTCAGAATATCTTAATTTATACAGTTAATACTACGGTCGCAAAAAGAAATAAAATAAAACGTAGTATTTTATTCACAATGTTTACGTAATTTGTATATTTGTATTTTATTTTCTTTTATATTTCCAAATTTCTCAATTCATGTGATTTTCTACTGTATAAATTGAAAAACGGTTCTAAATACTTATATTCAGAGATTCCACAAGATTCTTAGTTCACAAATTATTACCTTTTTATTTATAAACATTTTATACAAAATTGTTTAAACATATTTATTTATGTAACTATGTGTACATTAATTTGATTATAAATTACATATAATCTTGAAGTAATCATTATAACTCTTCAAGGAACGTGGAAAATAGCATCAAACAATAAAGTTAGTTGTATTACATAATATGCATTTGAAAAGATATGTATACTATTGATAGTTAAGAAATGACCAAAAATTATTTCCTGTATCTCTCGTATTTTTCATATCTTTCATTCATTTTTCATTCAAAAATAAATATTATACATGTACGTTATGTAATTTTCAGTCATTACGGGACCCTGATGGAAATCAATATCATCCATACGAATATAGTCTTCAACAGTCTGCAGATGGAAATGTATTGTTAGTGCCAAGGAATCAGACAAATCCTCATCATCCCCGTTCGACAACAATGGAGCCGAAGACGAAGCCTAATCCGGAACATAAGGAATGAAATTGTCATAAAATCGCGTTTAAAATATTATTTTCCTCACACGTTGAACGCACTTAAAGTGTTATCCATAAAGACAAATGCGGTGCTCAGAATAAAAATTACCTATGTTTGTTAAATTACAATAACATAAAAATGACTCGTGTTAAAACAAGTTCCGTGCTTAACATTCGATATATTGTATATCATATTTAACAACGAAATTTTTCAAAATCATTTTAGAAACTCACATTGAGTTATGTTTACGACTGGAAAATCATCAAACGTAGAAACAGTGATTGTACATATAGTAACATAAAATAACTACTTTATGACAAAAATAGTAGATGCTGTTCTAAAATTCTGTATTACGTTTA